ACACACACACACACACACACACACACACACACAGTCAGTGAAAACAATTCCCTGCTTGTGCTATGCCAGTGCAGACAGGATAATGAGGTGAAAAGTTTTACAAGTTCTTCCAACTATGCTCTGACCTCTCTAAATTAAGGGCACTCTCCACACAGCAGCGAAGCCTCTAATGGTTTGATGTGAGAATGAGTGTACCTGTGACTGTAAAGGGTCTATACACGTTGTTCCTCCTGCTGTGAAGTTACAGGAAACCTTCACAGCATCACAAACACAGCCCTGGTTGGGGTCCATGTAAAAATAACCTGCAATTTAATCAAGTCGAGTGTTTGGCCATCATTCAGGGAAATGTATTTTACAGCATAACGTCAGCGACTGATTTACAACATCATGAGTCTACAGACAGACCCTCACCATCAGTCAGATGAGGGTGTATGAGTCCCAGCTCATGGCAGGTGGTACCGGGGTCGTCCTGTGTTCCCAGGGGCCAAATGAAAGATTCCTCTTCCTCATCACTTCGAGGCAGTCTCTTCTTCACCAGCCTGGGCCTCTACAGAGGATTTCATCATTCACCAGAATCAGAATACGATCCCTTGAATATAACTGAATGCAAAGCAAAATGAAAACAGACAGCTTGTACCAACTTTTTGTTGTCCTCCCTTTTGCGTCAGGTGTTTGGGTGTTTGTCTGGATCTTGTCAGTTTTGATCTTGCACTTGTTCTTGTTTTGGGCTCATTTCTTTGACCTGGTGTTGACTTTGATCGTCCTCTTTGTGTCAAACCACGTTTGCCTGGGGCTCCTGGTTTCCCCTGTGAAAGACATGACAATGACTCCAAGACCATTGTTAAAAAGCTGGTGGCCATTACACAGTATTCACTGCTGCTAAGCTACAAATTCATATTAGAACTTTTCAGTATGTTGCAGCTAATTTTGTCAATCAGGTTGGACATTTTTTCATCAGTTCAATTTTAATGCATGTGTAAAAGTTCTTACTGGAGGTCCAGACTTTCCTTTGACTCCCTTAGGTCCTCTCCTGCCTTGGAAACCTTTCACTCCCTGTAAAGATCCAAACACGGTCATTCTGTGTTGCACTCCAGAGAAGAGGAAACTACAATTATTTATAGACCATGATGCTGTCTACACAAACTCTCACCTTTTTTCCACTCTTGCCCTATAAAAGACAAGTAGAAATGACTTCAGTTACGAATTTGAGCAAACAATATTTTTACATAGCAGAATAATATCAAAACAACATACAAGAAGTCCATGGAAGCCTTTTAGCCCAGGTGGACCACGAGGACCAGTGTCTCCCTGTGAAAATAATGATTGATCAATAATTTGCTATTATCATTGTTAAAAGATATATAAAAAGTAAAACATAACGTACCTGTTTTCCTTTACGACCAATTTGACCTTTCAGCCCCTGCAAACCAGGATTCCCCTGAGATAAAAGTTATAAATATGATCAACATTAATCAATGTTTTTGTTGTTAGATTACTTTATAAGAAAATAATTGTAACCAACCTTCAACCCCAGGGGCCCAAGTGGTCCCGCGATCCCTTTTTCACCTGGGAGACCCTGAACATAAAGAAAAAACAAGTAAAGACAAATTGCTCTCCGAGAAAGACGAATGATTCTCAGACAATGCAATTGTTTTGTGTATCAGATTTGATCTGTGAATGAATCTATAGGGATGCATTTTATCGTGGTTTGAGGACATTTTACCTTTGTACCAAGACTTCTAGATTCACCCTTCTCTCCTCTCAGTCCTGGAATACCCTGTATCAACACACAGATGATACAGATGTTGTCATGAATAGGTGTATGATTCCATGTTCCTGCCTGTTGAATAATACTGAAAAAACTTGTAAACCTTTGGCCCAATTGGTCCAGGAGGTCCACGTGTTCCTTTTGGTCCAGTTTTACCCTGAGTGATGCATTTTCACAGTGAATAATGTTAAACTGTCTTATAAAAAGCCAAATTACAAACTATATTTAACAGCAAACATGATATGGTGATAATATCTACCTGACATTTAAATAAATTACATGATTATTGTACCTTAAACCCTCCTGCTCCAGTGTTTCCCCTGATCCCAGGAGGCCCTGGTTTTCCCTGAAATAATAAATGATTGTAATACCACAAAATACACATATAAACCACACTAGAACTGAGTTTTATAAATGAGACAGCACATTTCTGCTGAGTTGCATGTTATTTATCTCTTTATTAAGCTTACCATCTTGCCGGACCAGCCAGGTGCTCCAGGAGCTCCTCTGAAACCAATGGCACCCTTTGGTGTGAGCACAGGAGAGATCGAATTCAGTAAAATGGTTAAACGACAAATAATTGCAGCATGGTTCATTTTTCTTACCGTATAGCCTTCATTACCCTCAACCCCCAGTAACCCGTCCAGTCCACTCAAGCCCTGATGACAAAATCACAAAACAAGAAACCAGTTATCATCAACACATTCCTCTCTTTAACTTTTTATAGTGGTCAAATATATATACATGATAATCAGTTTATGTCCCAATTTAAAATAGTTTTCTTAAGGTCTATTGTCATTTAAATGTTAAAGGTTCACTGTGTAGAATTCAGTGATATCTAGTGGAGAAGTTGCATGTTGCAACTGATTACCCCTCGCCTCACCCTCCCCTTCCAAACATGAGAGAGAACCTGTGGCAGCCTTCAGTTGTTATAAAAAGTCAAAAGGTGTTTAGTTTGTCCAGTTTGGGCTACTGTGAAGGGCCCATTCTAGGGTAAAGAACAATTCGATGATTACACACTTGTGAAAACATCACTAGGATTACTCTACACTCAATTCCTGCCAATAGATCCCTTTCACCTAAATTTTACACACAACCTTTAATACTTGAGGTGAGTTGAGGTTTACCAGAGTCGTAAAGGATTTTCAGTATATATAAAGGTATTTATTTTACAGTATCTGTCAGAAGGGATACTTGCTGGTTTTCCAGGTGATCCAGTGGGTCCTGTTCTCCCCGCCTCTCCTTCAGCTCCCTAAAAACAAGACTTCATTAGAACATAAGGCTTTGACAGGCCCAAAGTTAATGAAGATTGTGCAATTAAATCTGAGATCAGAAAAGTTTGCATAAAGTGTGTCATAATGTGTACCAAGACATGATCATTAAACTAGAATATATTTATAGTTGTTATTTAGTTGGTATCTCATTTTCTATTTGAGAGACATAGATTTTATTTCAACTATCATAAGTTAGGATTTTGTAATATTTGTGTTATGGAATCTGGATCAGAATAATCATAAAACTCACAGTTTTCCCAGAGGTCCCTTTATTCCCCTTCCTTCCCAGCTGGGCTCTTTTTCCCTTTATAAAGACAATAATGGGAAACAAACATCAGATTTCAGCATCAAAAACTCAAAACATGATGAAGGTGAATACTCCGTTATGATGACTTTACTTTAAGAGGACAGATACTCTGGCTTCCTTTTACCTTTGGCCCCTGAATTCCTTTAGCTCCTGGAATTCCACGAGGACCAGCAGGTCCAGGTCGACCTTTAGCACCAGCAGAGCCAATGAACCCGATCTTCCCAAGTTTCCCCTAAAAAAAAAAAGTGACGTGCTTAAAAATGTGATCAAATCTTGCATGTTCAGTAACTCTGAATTGTAAATCCAGTTCTTGAGAGTGCAAATAATCTGTTTTACAGCAGTTCCTCGTGCTCCAGGTTCTCCTTTTGCTCCAATTTCACCTCCTACGCCCTGGGAAATACAGAAGCTTATATAAACACACTGTATCACTGTGGTTACATCTTCATACAGACATGCATGACCTGATTAATGATACCTAAAGGGCAATCAAAAATAAAATCCTACCATTTCTCCTGTGATGCCTGGAAGACCAAGTTTGCCCTTCTCACCGTGACCGCCCTGAATTTAGCCAACACGCAGCAGAGACATAATTAACATAACTTAATGTTAATAAACCCCTTTAAATGGAAAGATCGGTGAGAGAGAGTCAGAATTAAAAAATGATACATTACACCTTTAGCCCAGGGCCTCCAGTCTTGCCATCAACACCCCTGTTGCCTGGTAAACCCTGAAAAAGTCACAACATTGAACCTGATGAGTCACTTCATGTGACTGCATAGTTGAAAGTTAACTCAAAAAGGGAACCACTTTTAATGCTGTCTGCTGATCTGTGTCATTTGACTTAGTCAAGCCATGAAGCAATGGAAACTAAATGAAACTACAAAATAAGTTTTGAAACACATTGCTAATGGTTCAGAATAAAATCTCTCTAAAAAGGGCAAACTAACATACAGAGATCAGCCAAAGCATTCAACCAGTTATACCTTTTAATGTTGTGGCTGATCAGTGTATATTGTGTATCCCATTTTGTAAAGTTTGAATTTAAGGTTTTAAAGATTGATAAAATAAAAATATATTCATGATCAAGGTCAAAGTTAAGTAACATTTGTTTTTTATGGCACGGATCACCAACATCGGGCTTAAAACTTTTTTAGACCACAGAACGTTCAGAGTTGAAATATCATGCAATTGATAGAAAACATATAAATCTAAGTCAAACATACTGGTGTTGATAATCCAATTTGTCCAGGAGGACCTATACTCCCAGGGGGGCCCTGAAATGAGAAGTAGAATGAAATAAACCTACACAGTTTGTTTCCAGCTGTGTAATAGTCAAACATGTTCACACATATGTTATACATCACATAAACATCAAATTACCCTGACAAAGACATTTTTAACATAATTTTACTAACAGTTTGTCCCTGGAGCCCCTTCTGGCCTTTGCCTCCTGCTGCCCCAGTGTTGCCCCCTGGTCCGAACTGTCCATGCATGCCTGATGGGCCTCTGATGCCTGGACCACCCTGTAAAAGCATAATTAATCACCACTTTCATTAACAATGCAATGCTATTGTACTTTGCCATCGTTCTTGTATGACTGACCTTAAGCCCTGGAACCCCCTGTTTTCCTCTCTCTCCTAGGGCTGCCCTGTATCCCTTCAAAACAAGGTATAGACAAAATAGCAGATAAGGGAATCTCCCTTATAAAATAAAACTCAAAAGATATTTTCATAAAAACTATTTAAATCTAAATGTACTTGTTTTCCTGGGAGCCCCTTTGTTCCCTGTAGCCCTTGATTGCCAATGTCACCTTCAGCTCCCTTTGGCCCTTTCAGTCCAGGAGGTCCAGTGACCCCCTTATCGCCCTTTAATGTAAGTCAACACTTTTGTCATTTAAAATAATAAATTTTTACAAATTTTATAAAAATCACAAGTTGACTCACAGATATTCCTTTTTGTCCAGTTGAGCCCTCAGGTCCCCTCAGTCCAACCGGCCCCTAAACACAAGAGCAAAATTGTTATTAGTGTCTTCTCCTACAGTCACATCAACAGATTGCATAGCCCTATGTTTTGAATCTTGGATTTTAGTGACTTTGCATCAAGTTAAATAAAAAATTAAAAAAATCAAATCTGTGAGCAACTCAGTCTAATCAATATACCTCCTCACCATCGAGACCAGCAACTCCCTCCTGCCCCAAAGCCCCTGTAGATCCCTGAAGATACAACATGTAGAGACAAAAAGAGTTGTTGAGTGAAGAATCTTTTAACTCCAAGCCTACATTATCGGTGCATCTAAGAGACAAAAGTGTGCTGTAGAGGACAAACTTAACCTTATTTCCTTTGAAACCAGCTGATCCAGTTGGTCCTTGGGATCCATCTTTACCCTAAATGCAGAGAGAATAAAGCAACGATTAGCCCAAAAAAAATCACAATGACACTGACAGGGTTGAAGTGCTGGTGTAATCTATTACAATGCATCATCACTGTGACACCAGACATGATGACAAACAGCAAGAGGAGACACAAGAGGTCTGCTGTTAGTCAATAAATTAGCAAAAGTCAAAATTGTTTCATGGCCCATATTTTGCACTTGTCGAACAAAAGTGTCTCTGAGAAGCACCAGCCCTGACCCATGGTAGAGCAGGCTTACTCATTGGCATGGTCTACTGTGACAGATGACTGAAATGCAGCCATTATTGATGGTTTCAGTGTCTGTACACCCTGTGAACCCCAAGGGTTAAGTCTTGACGTAGGCAGTCGAGGTGGAGTTGGCCATAGCGAATTAGTGCATAATCATTTTTGGTCAGTTTCATTCTTGTTTTTAATTTGCTTTAATCCTTAAACATTGATCAGGCTTTTAAATCTTCTGTTGGGTACCTTGAAAGTTTAGTAGCTGGTGACCACGTGCACTGAGCCTATTTTCACTTATTTGTACTTAAAGGTCCAGTGTGTGAGATTTAGGTGAAAGGGAACTATTGGCAGAAATTTAATGTAGAATAATTCTCATGATGTTTTCACTAGTTCATTTCATCTAAATTGTATGAATTGTAGTTTTCTTTACACTAGAAAAGGCCCTTTATATTCAAATACTTAGGGGGTCCACTCTACGGAGGCCGCCATGTTTTTTAAATTAGTCCAGACTGGACAAACTAAACACCTTTTGAGTTTTCAATAAAAGGCTACCACAGTTTCTTTATCATGTTTGGAAGGAGAGGGGGAGGTGAGGGGTGTTCAGCTGCAATTTCAACACTAGATATCACAAAATTCTACACACTGTACCTTTAACTTAACAGTGAAATTTGGTATTTCTGGCTACAAAGAACATGTGACACCACATTTAGCAAACAGGCAGAAAATAAAGCTCAACATTGATTAGCAGCACAAAATTAAACTTACTGAGTAACCTGTTACTCCACGTAGACCAACTAGACCTCGTGGTCCTTGATCACCTGAAAGTCCACGGGGCCCAACCTCACCCCATGGTCCTATGTTACCCTGAATACCCTGGATGGAAAAATTTATAAACAAGAATTAAAAGTACTTCAAGAATAATAATAAATTGAATAAATAAAGGACTAGGAACCAAAGGCATGATGTAATGGAGGCTACTTGTTTATAGACATTTCAATATCTATCTCTGCTGAAAAAACATTTTAAACCTAAAAATATGCAATTATTAGATCTGTGTTGAATTTGTTTGCATTTCATGATGAAATGATCTGACAGACAGGAAGCACATTTACTTTATGAGAGGACTCTCACCCAATGTCCATACAAAATGTATTAAGCAAGCCATAGTAGGACAATATGTCAATATTTCACAGAGGGAAACTTAAGGACACAGAGTGGTTGGATGGAATGAATTACTGAAATCATCTTACAGGAGCTCCTCCGTGTCCCCGTGGTCCAGACATGCCCATCTCACCCTGAGGGACCGAAAGATACAACTGTTAGTAATAGAGCTCAGAGAAAACACCAGAAAATATACATTTAAAAGTAAGTGTGTAAATAATGGTGTAGAGCTGCACTGATATTGTTATGGCAGTTGATTACGGAAAATAATTATGACTTTTTCTTCTTCTACCACTACTACTAATAATAATATGAGAAATAACATACTGGGGGGCCTGGTTTTCCCCTTGGTCCTTCCTCGCCTCTCTTACCCTTCATAACAAGGTTAGCACAATAAATTGAAACATAAAATATACATCATGTACATATACACTGACTAAACACGAGGCTTTGAAATGACTCATACCTTTAGTCCTTCACCCGCTGGAAGTCCATTGAGGCCTTCTTTACCCTTAACACCCTAAAGGAAAGCAACAGATCTCAGCATCATAATGAGTTTAAGTATCACTGTATCGCACATGATACTGTGTTTAATGGTGTGCACTTTAGTATCCTAAAAAGCCATGTAATGATAGCTTGGAACTTACTCTCTCTCCTGGTTTTCCTGGTGTCCCCTCCATTCCTCTACTGCCAGCGTCACCCTGTGAATGGCACAGGATATGTACATGTAAAGCTGTTATCTTAACATCTCTCTTAACACCATATCCTCTTACCTTCCCTGACACTCCGCTTACTTTGTCTAAATCTGTTCTTCTTTTGTTAAATCAATTAAAGAGCTGTGAAATTTAAAGATGAGAAATTACTCACACTCTTCCCTATATGTCCTTGGAGGCCAGGTGCTCCCATCTTTCCAGATAATCCCTGTGGCAGATATTTATCAGATAGTAGATATACATTTATGTGAAAGTTGACTTGTTCATTTTTGATTAAAGAGGTAAAAACTCACCTTTGAGCCTGGTGTTCCTGGGTCACCATTCATTCCATTTGCCCCAATGGGGCCCTAATAAAAGGATGTATTGTTTTTATTGTAATCACATATCAGCCCAGTTTACACAACATATGCCTCATAAGCCTTTGTAGGCCAAGGATGCAGTTATATAAACATTGGTTTATGTGGTGATAAGTCTTTGTACAAAGTTAGAAATATGAGTATTAAGGTATTGTTTGTGTTTGGCCTTACCAGGGCTCCAGGAGCTCCTTCCTGTCCCCTGTTTCCCAAATGACCTTGAAAACCCTAAGATGGGACACAGATGATGTGATGGTGATCTTTGGACAGTGCTTTTTTCAATGGGAGTGTATAATTTATATGAGAGAAGCCCCAAATTCTTCAAAACCATACTGGACAGAAAAGTCACATGACATTCATTGGACGATACATGGTTCTTATTGTAGATGTGTCAAAATCTTCTCTACTGTGTGAAATATGAAGGTTCCAGTGAGATCACCTTCTGGCCTTTAGGTCCAGGCTCCCCTGTAAATCCAGGCGTTCCCTATACAAAGAGTTTACACACATACAAAGAGTGTTATATTAACTTATAAGAACTTTATTAGTTTGTCTGCTTGTCAGAAATTGAAAGCCCTTAAATGACAAATGTGTCAAATCACAAATAGTGAATATATTTATTTTGAATCTCAGAACAAGAAGTGTAATCACATAGGAACCTTAATACCAGGTTCTCCTTCACGTCCTCTCTCCCCAGATTTTCCCATCTCTCCCTGCAAATAGACGATGAGTATAGAACAACAATCAGCATCTACAATTTAATTATATTTTATATAATAAAATCATATTTTATTTGTTTGTTCTGTTTCATTCTTCAGCTATATGAATTGCACTCTCATACTCACAATGGGACCAGGTAATCCCGAAAATCCTGCTCGACCTTTTCGACCCTCCAGTACGAAAAACGATATAACAATTGATTAAGATTTGATATGAGCTGGAAATAAATAATTCCAAACTCAATCGAAATAAAAGTTAGAAAATAAAACAACCTGAGACGTTGTCACCAGTATTTTTTAGTCCAACATTTAATTTGTGCTGGTGTGAGTACAATGTATATTTTACATGTACTTTTTACATAAAGAAAAATGTCTTTTGTCAACTTTGCTTGTATTTAAATTTACCTGACTCATTCAGTATCCACACTTGTACCCACCTTGTCACCTCGAGGCCCAGTGGCTCCTTGAATACCAGTTGGCCCTCGATCTCCCTACAAAAACATACACGGACGCATAATTACACAAAATACTAAAAAGAAAAAAATTAAATCATTCCCGACTGATACCAACATTCTTCTCCAACCCACCTTTGGACCATCTTTTCCCTGCTTTGCTTGCTCCCCCATGATGCCATCAAACCCCTATAACAATAGAGGCATATGCAAAATGAAACTTGGGAATTGCAGTTGCTGTTCAGTAGCATCTTGTGAATATATCTTTGTTCATAAAGGTTATTTCACTCACGCTGGAACCAGGAGGTCCTGGTGGCCCTGTTGATCCTACAAGTCCCTCTAACCCCAATGGGCCTCGACGGCCCTTTGATCCCTGTTTACCTGGAGGCCCTGGAGGCCCCTGTACACAAGCATAACAATACAGTGTTCATTGTTCTGATCAATGAACAGATTCAAAATCATCTGAACAGATTGACAGGAAGCATCAAACTCACTATGTCTCCCTTAAACCCTGAATCACCCTTGTCACCTCGCTTTGATTTAGCCCCCTGGAAGAGAAACGTGTGCAGTAGTTATTTAAAAGAGCAGTAACAGTATAATGACATGATACTGTTAAGATCATTAAATATTGCCATAGATTACATGTTTATATATTAAGAACATTTTAGATGGAGTCAATATTGAAATTGCTTTAAGTAATCTTACGGGATCACCTGAGGGTCCAGGCTTTCCTGGATTCCCATTGGCTCCCTGTAATGAGAAAATGAAATCTAAATTCATATCTGTGGTAGTGAGTGTCACATCTGTAGAGGATTTGGACTCATAGTCTTACATTAAGTCCAGGTGGTCCAGGTTCTCCTATATCTCCTTCATCTCCTGGCTCACCCTGGTGAAAATGCAAAGAAGAAAGAGGAGAGAGTCATCCAAAAAATATATCTGCAATCCAATGATGCATGACATTGTATTCTCCTATTTTAAGTGTACTCACAGGGTCTCCTTTAAGACCCACTGGTCCATCTGGTCCTGGATTTCCCTAAAAGAAGAAATAAATCACATTCATATTGTGATATTGTCATGTAATAAATCTAAGCTAATCTAATAAAGTGTGGCTACTGTGTTTTTGAATGTTGAGTCTTTATCAAAGACATCCATTAATTAAAAAAATCATCAAAGCAAGGCATAGTATGAGATTATTAAAGAACATAATAAAATACCCCTCTACCCAACTATACCACTACTTCTACTACTACTTTTAATAATAATAAGAATGATGATGATGATCATAATAATAATAATAATAAAACAGTATTAATACACAAAGTACTTTCTAAGGTCAAAATGAAACATACAAAAAAGAAAGACGAGGTGTAAAGTAAAATATACATATTTCCATACATGGACAAACACATTGTATACAGGTATGCATATACATACAAGAAAACACATAGAATAAAAAAACAACAGATCAAGTAACAGAAGTAAATCTGCCATGACTGTAAATACATATCACATCACAATGACCAAAAGCGTTTGTTGTACCTGAGGACCACGAACACCTGGAAATCCAACTGTGCCGTCAGGACCTGGTTCTCCCTGAGGCAAAGCATGTACACACAGATTGGACATTTATTTAGGTAAGATAATGTTGTGTGCTTTTTATTATTATTCAGTGTGTGTAAAGTTGGATGTGCACCTGTGGTCCAGCTGCTCCTCTGACACCCACTGCACCGTGATGACCCTGATAACATAAAATGATGTTTCACAAATATTGTTTAATGACTCACAACTTGATTAACTGGCTGTTTACTTACCGGAGGTCCTTTCACTCCTAAAACACCTCTCAGTCCTCTGGAGCCAATTTTGCCCTGAGGAGCAGACACATTAATTGCTGCTGCCTTTACTTTTAACAGTGGCTATTTGTTTCATTCAAATGAATTATAGTACTATCTCTATACTATGTTATTTAACTCACAGGAGGGCCTGGTGATCCACTGAAGCCTGGAGCTCCAATCTCTCCCTGGAAACAATAAAAAGCAAAGACGGCTGTGATCAAGACGTATCATATTCACAGAGTTATTTTAATACAGTAATGATGGATACTGACTAGAGTTCCTGATGGTCCTGGAAAACCAGGAGGACCCCTGGCTCCGGGTATTCCCTGTAAACACAGGACATTTCAGATGCTGTGTTGTTGAGGGAAAAGTTCTTCATTGATTTTAAGTTAGATTTCATGAAAATGATGTTAGAACAACCAAAGTGGCCATAATTAAAGAGTAAAGTCACTTACTATGTAGCCAGGGAGCCCGACAAGGCCTCTGACTCCTTTATTTCCCTGTAAGTGAAGGAAAATACAATATTGTAGCCATCTTCTCCTTATATAGACTGGGTGTGTATTGTATCCTGAATCTGACCTTGTCTCCTGTTCGTCCCCTGTCTCCTTGTGGCCCAGCCTCTCCTTCATAACCCTACAGGCAGAAATATGAGCACAGACATATGAAATTATAAGGTAGCTGAAGAAAACAGAAGACTTAGACATTTAAACAGACAGGTACACACATGTACTTGGGCCTCCATAATTGAAATCCCCATAACATTAGAAGTCCAGGCCACTCTTACCCACTCACCCAGCTCCCCTTTACTGCCCTCCTCTCCTCTGTAGCCTTTGGGACCCTGTAGGGACGGGCACAGAATATATTTATCAAAATGCAACAGACAAACAATAATTTACACACATCTTTTACATGTTTCTAAATGGATTTACCTGTTCTCCAGGTAAGCCTGGAGGGCCTGGGTGAGCATCCTCTCCTGGGGTCCCATCTCTTCCAGGTCGACCCTGGGGCCCCGGCAGACCCTGTGGCCCTGGACTACCCTGCAGTTCAATACAACATGAGTGATTTGTATTTTTCTGTACACTGATATATTGTATTTTATCATTTTGCATTGTTGGGGTGTAATTGAATATATTTGTTATTAGTCCAGTTCCTACCAACAGAAACATTATAGTGCATATGTCGCATTTGTTGCAACACTTTAGGAACCACATGTAACCACATGCTAAAGTGGTAGGTGATAGAAGTCAGCACATTTTGCTGAGAAAAACTCATTGTTGACTCAGATGAGATGCAAATAAACAGAGATACCTACGGTTTTCCCTTGAGCTCCTCTTGGTCCCTGTTTCCCAGTAATTCCAGGTGGCCCCTAGAATACAGAATCAGCCACCGGTGTATTTTCAACCTTAATTTAAATTCAATATTGACATGGTACGATAAAGTGTACCACTGCATAGCTGTTTAAACTTTGTCTTGTCAAGTAATCCAATTACTTACAATTGGTCCTGCATCTCCAGGAGGTCCAGGAGGCCCCAGAGGCCCCTTAACTTTCTGAAAATACAAAAAAAACCCACAATGTTTCATATTTTAATCACAATTTAACTTCATAGATTATGTCCAAACATTTTTCACTGAATATAAATAAGGTAACAATGTACATAATGACTATTGACGCAGTTGTTGAATTTAACAGCTGTGCAGGATTTTGAACAATTGGATTTCAACTGACAAAACACTGATCAATAAATGAAACATCACCAAAGATAATGTTACTTCAGGAATTTCAACAACATTTGTTCTTGCACACAAAAACCTACTGGCCAGGAAGACACCAGCTTTTTGTAGATCTTCTTTTTCTGCAAGGGAACAACACAAAAATATACACAGACTTTCAGTTCAAATAATGTAATTTGAGAAAAGGAAAAAACAAACAATTGAAGCAATGGTTGTTCAACAACTTCCAACAATGCATTTGATTTTCATCAACTTTAATACTGTACGAGTACAAATACTACATAATGTGTTGCAGATTGACAGACTCCCTAAATATCTATCAGAAAACTAGACAAGCATTAGTGAACACTTCCTACTCCATTAACCCAATAGATACATTTTTTTCTCCATGGTTGTGTGTTCAGTCAGTTGAAGTGGCTCTAAACTGTCGCAGTGTTTTTTATTGTCCATGTTCATACATGTCTCAGCATAAATGTAAATGTGTGTGCAGTACAGAGTTCGCCTCATGGTGTCGCTCCTCAACAGTTCACCTTGAAAGCCTCCCATTCCTCCTCAGAGGTTTTAAATACAACAATGGCAGGCATCCCTGGAGGACCAATGGGGCCTCTGTATCCTGTCCGCCCGGTCCTGCCCATAACACCTTGATATCCCTGAGAGGACGAGAGATAAGATCATGTATGATGTGCAAAACAGACCTTGGATTACAGTGTCCTCAGGTTTGATCAGAACAGGAAGTTAGACGCAAAGAAAACATCTGGACAAAGACATACTGAGCGATGTTTCCACGGGAATCTCCCAAACTCAGTATAAACTGATTCTCAAAACCACTGGATTAAACTTCAGCTGTGGTCGGCACTAATTTGCTCTGTCTTGAAGAGAAATCGTTTCATGTTACAAAAAAGTCATTGCATCTGAGACGTAAATCGCGTGATGAAGCTGTTGACGATTATCTGACTGTGAAGAATCCAGGTTACATTAAACACTCATTAAACTATACGTTTGAAAACAGATCTCATGGTTTTGTTAGGATCCAGTTAGTCAGGTAAGGACTATTAGATAAGTCAAAGTTTGGTATATTTATGTTGTGTACATAAAATTAATTGATTGGTGGATTTAGATTGAATAAGGGCTGTGAAGACTCTGAATTTAAAGTTATGTTTAATATATAGTTGGGGGAATTAAGCAAAGAGTGATTGAAAAAAAAGTACAGGTACAGTAAAAATGACCGATAACAAAACCTTGAAGCCGATGAAGGTTTTCTTTAGTCTTGGAATAAAAGGCTGACTTGGGGCCACGCTGGAGTTTAGCAGACGTTTTACGATGGTTTTTCCTGAGTTCGTACTGAACTCAACACAGCTGCTTGTTAAATCTTTGTGGAAACTGGTTTAACTGGCCCAGCAAACATTTGATTCCTATCAAAAAACCACAAACTTACCAGCATATCTCACAAAAATGAAACAATGTGAGCAAATCCTATTAATTATATTTAAAACAACGAGCTCAAAGAGGCTAAACGCTGCATGCAGCGGCAGAGTTGAGCGGTTGATGTTTGTGAGCAGCACTTTCCTCTCACACTGAACCATTTCTTTCATTGTTCGTGCAAAATAAATAAATACATTCTTGAGTTGAACACATACTTTGTCTCCTTGAGGTCCTGATGGTCCTGGTAGTCCAGGTGGACCCTGTACTCCCTGAAGAAAGATTAACATAGAATTATAAGGCCACAGCTAAACCCTAAAATCAACAAATAAATAATTCTAACAATGACCAGTAATTCCTGTGATTTACTGATAAAAGCAGTTTAGGGCACAAAATGAGATGTTTCAAAATATCAACAGCCCTGGTTTAACATGATCTGCTGGACATTCAATATTATGTCTGTTTATTTAGTCTGAGATAATAAACATGTGTGTGTTTCATCGAAGAGTTCAACCTCAACCCCTCCCAGACACACACACACACAAACACATACACACACATACACACACATGCACGCACACATGCACAGAATTGACAATGTTGCCATCTCGGTCATCAACACAGCTCCACCCAAATTTAAATTCCTACCAAGTCCTGACAGAAAATGAGATTAGAATATTTCAAGAATGTGATTGTGGTTTGTTTATTTACTTATAACATCATTAAACATCATTAACACTCCGACATTTATACGATTGACCTGTGATGACACAAAATGACTTTCAATGTGACAATTCATTCCAGGTCTTAATAAACATTTACGTAGATACAGGTGAATATAAACAATGTCTTACCCTCTGACCTCTGACCCCAGGTCTTAGTCCCGCCCCGTGATGTCTGACTGAGGGTGTAGGCTCCTGATTGGCTGCTTCAACATTCTGCTGTGGCGACTCAGTCTCTGATTGGACTATGAAGTCTTCATCGCTGAACTTGGAGAGCCACTCAAGTGAAGACTGATTATTATCCTCAAAGATGCAGGTGTCATTAAAGTGATTTCCTTTTTCCACCTCTGCTTCTTTTCCCTCTTCCTCCCCCTCCATCACTAAATCTGTCTCATCTTCATCTCTGCCGCTCCCCTCCTCTTCACCTGGAAGTTGTTGCGGTGGTGATGTGGTTTCTGTTTTTGGTGAATCACTGTCCAACCGTTCAATTTCTGTTTTTTCTCTAATCCCTCTGCTGGAAACACCCCCCCCCTCAGTTGTGATGTCACTCAGTGCTGCTCTACTTTGTTGTGTGGGAGCTGAAAGTGTCAGATTTGGACCTGGAACTTTCTCAGGTGCAGCAAAGTCTCGTGTCACCTCTCCCTCCGCTGACGTGTCTTCTTCTGCTGCTGCCAGAACCTTCAGGGAGGGAAGAGTGACTCCAGACACTGGAGGTGTAATCACTGCTGGTGAGGTATCCTGTTTGGCCTCCTTTGTTCCTCCGTCAGGTGAAGCGTCCACACTGGAAGCATTGAACCCTGATTCTGTTGTGGAGCCTGAGACCAGAGTGATAACAAACTCATGAGGCCCATCAGAGAAACGTCTCTCTGCAGTTTCCGTCGCTCCCCCTGCAGATGCTGAAGTGACTCCTGGAGCTGTGGGGTTCTCAGGTTGGATGTTTGGGCTTGAAATGGACGTCTCGACTCGCTCCACCACAGATGATGGCTGATGAACTTGAGCAGTGTGAGGTGTGTGGACAGAAGCGACTGTCCAACTCCCTTCTGTTCTCTGTGTCTCCTTCATTGTCCCTGATATGTGTGACTTAGAAATGTGCTCATCTCCAGTCTGTGGCTCCTCAGCTCCTCCTAGAATCACAGTCTTTGGTTTGTCTTCTTTGGTGGAGCCTGTAGTCTGAGTGTCTGCACCAGTCTGAGTTTTCACTGCAGCTTTGTCGTCCACATCCTGTATGTATGGAGCAGTGTGGGACTCCAGAGGGGAGGTGCTGTTCTCAGTTTGGCTTTTCAGTCTGGCTGTCAGCTCAGTGAGTCCGGCCTTGACAGCTGTGTCCTGAGGGGAAGTGTCTGGTCTGGAGGATTCTCTAATGCCAGGATGAGAAGTCACCTCATCTACTGCTGTAACCTCCTGGGAAAGATTTGAATGAGGAGAAAGATCAGTCAGTCCGTTAATTGACAACAGAAATAATGGCCAAAGGACACAATTCACACACACACACACACACACACACACACACACACACACACACACACACACACACACACACACACACACACACACACACACACACACATCAGGCCTGTTTCATATACACACACACACACACACACACACATCTGGCCTGTTTCATACACACACACACACAGAGTGAATGCAAACGTGTCAACATCTGCAACTCATCAATGTGATTCCGCCGCTTTTCCTGAAATCGCGCCCGAGCTGCCGCACACGCCCACGCACGCTTTCTAATCATGAACAAAAAAAAGCGCAATTAAACATGCGAAACCCAACCGAGCGTGTGCGGTCACTTACGAGCCGCGTCGGGGGGGGGG